ACTTTCCAGCAGAAGTCTAGCCACCTTGTCATTGGCTCGGCCTATTACCCTTCCATTTTCGAAGGCGAAGGTGTGTTTCTTCTGCCGTACGCGTTCATAGACCATAGACAGCTTATCCTTGCGGCTGATTGTGAGCTGATGCTCTTGCAACCTGGTGCCAAGGCGTATGCCCGTTTCACCGACATACCTTGCATCGTAGTCTTGACGTGGTACGCGTTCATAGACCATAGACAGCTTATCCATGCGGCTGATTGTGAGCTGATGCTCTTGCAACCTGGTGCCAAGGCGTCTGCCCGTTTCACCGACATACCTTGCATCGTAGTCTTGACATGGTATGCTGTAAACCACGGCTGACTGTTCTGTCGACGGTAGCTGGTCTTTGGGCCTCATAATCGGTCTATGTCCTTGAACATTCTTCTTTTTATTTTTGGGGGGATGATGAAAACGATAACGACCAGAACCACTTGTGGAAAAGCTTAAATTGTGAACTAATTGTGAAAAAGCGGAATACTGATTGCCGCTCCTACGAGCAACTGCAAAGACCAGAACACACATATCCCACGCATTCAACATTCTCATTATGTTTGCTGTCGCGGCTATGTCTTTTGCATGGATCTGCATTCTACTGACTTGTTACTTTGTCCATTGTTCGGCTGAGCACAAATAATTTTCCGCAACTTACACAAAGGAACGTTAACTATGTGCAGAATGTCAAGAAGCGTGGATACACACCTGTGATAGTTACAATCATGCTATATGCATTCAAAAACTTACTGAAACGGTCATTTCCAAATGCGCCAATCGCAAATATTCAATCCAATTCCATTCCATGTATTTTTCGCATCGTTATGACTTCTGTTTCTCAAAATATGGTCAAAGTATGGTCGGTATGTGTGCATTTTTGGGCATGTACCGCTACGGGCACCTTATTTGAAGTTCATATCTCGTAAAAACGGACACGCCCTTACCTCTTAAGTTGCTCAAAGTGTAAAAAACAGTTAGGTATTACCTTTCTGGTCGTAGGACTGTAACACTCTATCTCTCGAGTTTCACAAGCAAAAACTCACAGACAACAGACCGCTTGTATACTGTGTAGCAGTGCTCAGCAAACACCGTGTATACCACACTGATAGCATCTATGCATATAAGGAGAAGTGCGACAGACTAGCAACCAAGCTTATAAGACCGGAAGCAGCCGCTGCCTCCAATTATTACATGGCTTAATAAAATCTATTCTTAAATTCAATCTCTTCAGGTAAATGTTATATTGGCATTTGCAGACAGAAGCAAAAGTATGATACGGAGAAGAGTGAAAGTTCATTGGTCTTTTTCTATTCAAGTTCAGCATTGTGGTCTTTAGACGTAATATCAGTAGTTTTATTGTATTTAAGGAAGATCTTTATATGAAAACAATGGAGCTCGCTTCAAAAAAAATCAAAATACGGACGGAAGGTTCTAAATCGATGCCTGCATATTACCTGCCATTTCAGAAAGAAAACTCGCACGATTCACCTAAGTACTGGAACTTCTATACACTCCAGCATTTTCGGACCAGCTGCATAGTAGCAAATTGGCAACTTGCAACCCTCTCTTGCTTCTCGCTCCTGAACCGAAAAACATAACAGTTGAAAATTGTGTGAAGGGCAGGGTGACACAATACGTAGTCTCATAATACTAAGTGCAGTATGCATGACCTGGGTCACTAGAATATATTAAGTCGGCATCATGTCAAACACGCTGCATAGAACTGTACAGATATCACCGCGAACGCCCTAGATAAGCGGCCGGCATGGACTGCGGTTTATAATGTGACTGCCGGCGACACTTCTGACTCCGCTGCCCAGTTGGTGGGAATTTAATATTAACTTTTACGAGTAAAGTGATATGTACGACTCGAGTATCGTTCTCACAATGCATGAAAAACATTTCCTCTTATCCCAGTCCTTATTGTCCAATTTCCCCTTTACTCATTTCATCTATCTATAGTGTTTATAGTTCAGTGAGACAGCAATGATCACGACCTTGGATTTACAGGAAAATTACTAAAGTGAATGTGATGTTTATACAAGTGTTGTAAGCACACACAAAATGCGGACTCCAAATTCAACTGACACACTTGACTATATCTTCCTCCCACACGAAAGCCGCATGCATCTTTCTGCCTTCAAATGAAGCATATGTTTTATCCAAAACCTTATTACATGCGTATGTACGCGTTAAGTATTGCACTTACCAGAACGCATAGTAGTGCATTGGACCTGCTATGTATAAAGCAACCACCGAAATTCGAATAGGTGTTTTGATGTGAAAAACTTACTGAATTATAATTGTAAGATTACTGATCTTGTAGCATAATCCCGGGGTGCATGAGTCATGGGAAGATGCTGGCTTTTGAAAGGACCCCCTTTTGGCAGTCTGTAGTCTGTAAGACTTGATTGCATATAGATTAAGCATGACTCAAGTGTATTTGAGAAAAAGCATGTAACATTGCTCCCCACTTCTGATGTTTAGCACATTTCATCTTCTTTGCAACTAGTATACAAATAAGGTACGTTTATTGTTCAAAGCGTCATATCTGTCCATCTATGCTCAATGTACATAAACAATGCACCATGGCACTCATCCATTGCCAACTTTTCTGAGGTTGATGCGATGTTTATTGAATAGCTTAAAAAATATGTACTTGCCCTTATACGGAATGTATGCTGCTTATAGATTGGGAACCCTAAATGCAGGATGTCACATTCAAGATAATTCGGGAATGGGGAAAATGCTTTTTAAAACCGAACGATATACTTCCCTCAAGTATAAACTTTGAAGTGGACCTATTTTACTTTCGGATACATGTTCTAACAAAATATATTCACATTACTAAGGCGCTTAAAAGTTATTGGTGAAATTCCTTCAAGTTGTGTAGTCATAGTTTAAGGAAGTGAACTCGTTTAAAAGCGATGATCTCGGTATGACTAAAACAGCTTTCGAGATTGCGGAATGATAATTAATATTGCGATCCATCTTACGTATTCCTTGTGAATTGAAATAAAATTTCTGAACTCTGATGAAAAGATCATGAGGTACGAAATCTATTGGAGGCAATTAATGAAAATTAACGGTTTCACTCATGCTACAAATAGTCCGGATATGGCCGGTTAGTGAGTAGGCTAAGTGGTTCCGACTAATTAATACGTCAAAATCAGTCGCGGCGTAGTTTAGATGGCAACTCTGATAACACGTGATGGCCGAACTCGGCAGAATCCTGGGGGTTAGCCAGCACTGTCGGCATTTCACTTATTCAGTCGAAGTATTTTTGGGGTACCATTACCGGCGAACCTGACTATTAGACAAAAAACTGACTGGCATAAAACGCTGTTCAACTACTAGTTAAGATACTGTTTGCCAGCAGGACCTGCTCACCTCATTTTTTTGGAAGTCAAATTCTATCGAGTATTGCAGTGAACCAAGATCAGTCTTTTTCTTGTCATGTTTGTCGTCGCCGGCCTCATTTTGTTCCATATTTTCCGTCAGCCCTTCCGTATCCTCCTTGAAAAAGAGGCAATGGGAAAATTATTTTATGTTTTTGATAATTAAATACTTGGAAGTAAGAAGTTAAAAATGACTATTAATGATAAGTTCGAACTGCAGATGAAAACTTCTCACGTCATATTAAGTATATATCTACAAAATGTGCAAATGTGAGCTACCTTTAGTGTGTAGATTAAAATACTGAGACCATGCAGCATTTTATTCTCCTCAGGAAGTGTGGTTATTTGGAATAAATGTGATGTAATAAAGGTATGCGGGCGCAATATGAGTCTTGATCTGATTGACATGGTGGAATTACCACGTAATATTCATAAAATGCCAGCTTGTAGCCAGATATATATATATATATGCATATAATATATGGTATCTAAATATCTAGTGCTCTTTCCACCGACCAGAGCCTATAAAGTCAGTTTAGACGTTTATCCTTCAGTTAGCATATATATCTTTTGGCGGTCTGGGCATTCCGCTCTGTTATTCGTGTCGTTAAGCATATGCTCAATATGCTCAATATGCATATGCTCCTCAATAATATTAGGCCTTAATTATGACTGGCTTTGTAATGATCCTAATAGCAAAGGTTACCCGCTCTGCCATGGGCCTCGACAGAAGCCCTGATAGCCGTAGCAGCTGTTAGCATAGGCAGACCTAAACCAGTAGGACAAAGAGCAAGTGACTCAATGGTTAGGGCGTTAGACTCTGCTCAAAAAGGTCGCGAGTTCGAGGCTCGGGCAGGACAACAACTGAGTGGCTGACGGCGGCTAGTAAGCCGGAAATGGCCATTTCAGTCTTCCTGTAACATTATCTGGATATTTATATACTTTAGCTAGCGTACTGTAAAAAGAACTATACCTGCAGGGCTAGACGTTGGGCATTTTAGCAGTAAAATCAACAGATCAAAAACGTTCAGCGAATTTCCG